ATTATTGTGTAACATAGCAATATTAATATGTTGACCGTTCAACAATGCATAATAAAAATCCAAAAGAATTAATATTGATGTAGTTGATAGTAATATTACCAATGTTTTGAAAACCGGACCGGACATCGACCCGGCCAAGCTACCGGGTCACGGTTGAACCGGTTCAACCGGGGTCCAACCGGATTTCTTATTTTTTTTTATATATAATTATTTTATTAATTTAATACCTCAAATATAATATACTTTATATTTTTATATTTGCTTCCACTTTAATCTAGTTCGACCTTTTTTATAAAAAAATAATTTAAAATTATTACTTTTCTTCTCCCTACTCTCTCTCTCCTTCCCTCTCTCTCTCACTTCTTACTTCCAACTTCACAGGTCCCCATCCCCTTCTTTTCTTCCATCTTCTTTTCTTCTCATCTTCCTCTGTTTATTCTCAATTATCATAATTTCCAGTTTCCAACTACATATACACTCTATTTTCTCAACTTATTTTTACATTTTTTCTTCATTTTCACTTTCACCTTCTTCGTTTTTTTTTTCTTCGGTAAAGCTATGGCGGCCACAACTTGGATTGAGTCACGAACTACCCAAACCCGTCTAGATTTGTTCACCAACAACCTTTCCGGACAAGATTCTCTCACCCACGACCACCATTGATGTAGATCCGACCATGATATTTTTTATTGAGCTGAAAACCGGTTTGCGGACTTGGTTTTGGGTGAACCGGTTTTTACCGGTCTAACCGGGATTTTGACTGTTGACCCGGGTTTTTGGGCTTTTTGGGTTCTCCCATCTAACCGGACCGGACATGGCGGCGGTTCGCGGTTGAACCGGTCGAACCGGCCGGTCCGGTCCGGTTTTCAAAACATTGAATATTACAATCATCCACAGTAATATTAATGTAACGACAGTAATATTACCATCAACCTCAGCAATACTATTGTGTTTATAATAATATTACTATAGTAGACAGTAACATTATTACGTTAATTCGTCAACAAATCAAACAAAATAAAAAGGCAAAAAAAAATATTGATGTGGTTGGCAGTTATATTATTGTGTTTTCAGTAATTTTACCGTCAATGAGAGCAATATAATTACGTTAACTTGTCAACAAATAAAACAAAATAAAAAAAATCAAAAATATAATAATATTGTTGTGGTTGACAGTAACTGTACTATTAAGACAGTACAATTACGTAAATGTACTGTCAACGACAGTACGATTACGTAAATGTGCTGTCAATGACTGTACAATTACTATCAGCGACAATATAAATACTTTTAATGACAGTATAACTACGGTCAACATTCAGCGGCAGACGTAAAATAAAAGGATAATTTTTTTAGGAAAAAATAATAATAAGTGATATAAAAAGTCAACGCAGGAAACCGGCGGCGAAAAAAGCAAACAAATTTAAAAAAAAAAATCAACGCCCGAAACCGGTTGCCTGAAAAAATAAAAGTTAACTCCATAAACATGCGGCACAAATTATTTTTTTAAAAGAAAAAGTCAAAGTTTGGATTATTGTGGTAAAAATTTGATTAAAATTTGAAGTTAAATTGTGATTACAATTAAGAATTAGATTTAAAATTTTGGGTGTAATTTTATCATATACATTAATTTTGCGTTAATTTATAATACATATTACAAGGATGACTTATTCGCGAAAGAGATATAAGTTATAATCCCTGAACCTAGAATAATAAAAATGGTTAGTGAAAAACTTTTTCATACAATCGCTATTCTTATCATTAGTAGTTGCAGTTATTACTATTATTAAACATTTATTGTTATTATTATTAGTTTATTCCCTTTGCTATTTATAACGTAAAAAAGACCTTTTCTTTCGGGAAAAAAAAGAAAAAGAAAAAAAACCTATTTTTGACTTTACAATTTTAAGGGTGTAGAATTTTGTGGTATTTGAAAAGAAGTGTATAGTTCCTACAAAAAAATCGGTGTCTAGTAAAATTGAAATCATAATATTTTTTTTTTAATTATTGGTTTTCTTTATAAGTATTATCATATTCATAGTTTTAGTTTTAAGATTTAATGGAAATGGGTGTTCTTATATTTTACAAATGGGTAAATAACAAATAGCGCCATTGACAATGGTAGTTAATTAAAAACGGGACATCCAACTTTTTTATTTTCGAAATAAATTCAGCTCATTCAAACTTATTTGCAAATAAGGAAAACTGTTTTTATATACCAAAATTACCCACAATTCTTTGAAACGCTAATTCAACTTCAAATTCATGATTTACACCCCCAATTTAGCCATATTTCACCAATTAATCAATTTTGACCTGCAATCGTCGGAGACCGCCGGTCTCCAGCGTTGACTTTTTTTTTTCTTAAATTTTTTTTCTTTTTTCCGATTTTTTTTCCGGTAGGTCAACCGCTGTTGACTCTCCGACATTGACTTTTTTTTTTTGTTTTTTCTTAAAAAAATTATTTTAATTAATATTACTGTCTTGGCTGCTAAATTACTGTCTCCAACGATAATTTAACTGCCTGACGCAGTAATATTACTGTCTGAGACAGTAATTTTACTGTATTAATTAATTTTACCGTCTTGGCCTGCAAGTTTGCTGTCTTCGACCGTAATATTACTGTCTCATGCAATAATACTATTGTTTGAGACAATAATTTGTTGTGAATACAGTACTTTAGAGAAAAAAAAAAAAAAAAAAAAAAAAGCCAACGACGGACCAACGGTCAAAGGCAGTTGACCGGCCGGAAATAAATAAATAGTCAACGCAGGAAAATTATTTCAGAAAAAAAATTATTTTCTAAAATAGAATTATTTTTTCAAAAAATTATGAAAATGAGGGTTATATGATATGTTTGTTGAAATTCGGGTCAATGTGTAATATTGATGAAGTTAGAGTATAATTGATGGAATTGATAAAAAAATATATTATGGAGGGTATTTTAGACAAAAGACACGGGGATGGAGTTATTTGCAAAACCGTTATTTGTCTTGATCAATATGCATTTAAGTCTCCTTTCATAGACCTATTTGCCATCGCCCTTTCCAAATTTATGAAAATTTCTGATTTTACTAAAAAAATGTTAAAACTTATGTGATTTTCGAAATTTCTGAAATTCCGAAAATTTCTTTACTGTTTCATTGGAATGCTGGGTTCTGAAATTTTTTGAATTGGAATTCGAATTGAATTAGTTTTGTACTTTCGAAAAAAAAATAAAAATTGACAAAGTTAATTTCGATATGTTCAATCGTACTTAGATGGAAGCAATATAAAGTTTGTTCCAACTACATGCAAACGGAGGCGGACCGTTTGTCAGGCAGAGCCGCAAGGGGGGTTGTGGCCCCCCAAAGTTTAAAAAAACAATTGAGTTAATTTTCATAATATTTTCTAGATATGTGATTTTGCCCGCCTAAATTTTATTAAATATAGGTTTTAACCAATATTTTTTTATTTTCTATATATATATATATATATATATATATATATATATATATATAATTCTTGTTCGGTTCAGTCTAATTTTAGATTGATTTTATCACATTTTAAGTTTTTTTTCTATCTTTTCAAAATGAATCTAATTGAACCGACGAATGATTAGAAAAAAATGATTGGACCGATCCATCGGTTTGATTAACCGATTCGGCCGACCAATCGGATCCGATTCAATTTTCAAAATCTCAATTAGTACATGCTCTACAAGACATGAAAGCCTGCAATGAGATAGTGAATGTTTAAAAAACAAAAAAATAAAAATAAATAAATAAATAAATAAAAAATAAAAAATAAAAAAATAAAAAAATAATGAGAGTAGTGATAAATGTGGAGGGCCACTTCGAGACTGATGAAAGGCAATATGCAAATATAAATAGAAACGGTTGACAAAGTATACGGCGGTCGCTTTCAGCAAGACCGACGTGCTTGTCTCACGCAGTTCCCGCCATTACCACCGCCTTTTTTTCCTACTCTTTTATTTTTCCTTCTATTCTTTATTATTAATTTATTATTCCAATTAATTTAACTATTTAGATGTATTTCACAATACATACACAACTTATATAGACAGTTTAAAAAATTATTTACATAGATTAGTTACAGAGCAAAAATTTAGCATACAAACATGTACTTAATGTAATTTTATTATGATGTTTGAGTTAATTAGACAACTTAGACTCTTATTTGCAAAGTTTTGATTACACAACTTAGTTAAAATAAATTGAAACTGAATCATCACCTAACAATTCTTCATATTTCTGGTTTCTATAATTATTAGATGACACCAGAGGGGAAGGAGTGTAACCGAAATCATTAGTACGTGTGTGTGTGGGTTGTGTATGTGTTTACGTAGGTGCTTGATTATGCGTGTGAGTTTGTGTGGAGTTTCGATCCAGGCAGAGGCATAGAGAGGAGGTGGAGCAAATTTAACGGAGTGGAGCAATGTTGAACGGAAACTGATATAGAGCAGTTAGGTTACACAATAAATGCGGGTTTGAAGAACAAATAAATTTTAGCAAATTGCAAATATCCGACTTTCCTGATTCGAAAGAGTATTAGTACACAAGGGTTTTTGACAAACTGCCCCATAATATAATCAAGCAGGGACGAGTCAAGATAATTTATTTGACTAAGTATTTTCTTTTGATTCACTAAATTTGGAACTACTATTCGATAAATAAATAAACATCCACTGGGTCCATGTTTGAATGTTCAAAGAAACCCGTTAAAATTAAGGGTAAATTACGGTCAACCGCCTAAGGTATGATCAAATTACAAAATAACCCCCTTTTGTTTGAGTAATTACAACCACCCCTCAACTATGAGTATTCTTACACATTCACCCTATGGTGTCAAATTTAACATAATCTTCTAGATCCCGAGGAATATTCTCTAATATGTACTCATTTTATGCAAAAATGCAGTTTATGAAGCATTACGATTTGATATTTACAAGCCAAGAGGCACATCTTATGATCATCTTGTTTTAAAATGTGGAGCTTGAATGAGGTAAAACGGGTACAAACTGTAGAATATTCCACATAATCTAGAAGATTCCATTAAATTTGACACCACAAGGATAGACGTGCAAGACAATTCATAGTTAAGAGGGTATTATAATTACTCAAACAAAACGGGGTTTTTTTTGTAAATTAACCATATATCAGGGAGGTCGCCGTAATTTACCTTTAGAATTAATTATATCCACCTTTGTAGTTAGTAAACGTACCACCAAGCATAAATCAATATTAATAAATGATGAATCACCAAATTGAAATTAAAATGTAAAAAGAAAACAAAAATAAATAAAAATAGATCCGAATGATTAGCTCTGTTCAAAGTTTTACCAACACTCCTCGAAAGTGGTGGATCGTTAACAAAAATCCAACAAAAACAAGAATTCAACTGATCAAGAAATCAAACATACTACTGCTTGAATCAATTTCTTGAAATCAATAAATCAAAATCCAATTTTTTTCTCTTTTATTTTTTTTTTTCCGATTCTAACGTGGAGAAGAAAGAGAATCACAAGGTTGCAGAATTTCACGCACTCGAAAATCAACGAGAGGGGCAAAAAGGGAAAGAAATTGTTACCAGCATTTTCTGGAGGGATGAGCAATAATAAAGAGCCGGCCGTTAAACTAGACGACGACCAGTTAGCGGAGCTTCGGGAAATATTCCGATCGTTCGACAGGAACAACGACGGCAGCCTGACGGAGCTCGAGCTGGGCTCCCTGTTGCGTTCGCTCGGCTTGAAGCCGAGCCCCGATCAGCTCGACGCGCTGATCCAGAGAGCCGACACCAACAGCAACGGCTTGGTGGAGTTCTCGGAGTTCGTGGCGCTGGTGGCGCCGGAGCTGCTGCCGGCGAAGTCTCCGTACACGGAGGAGCAGTTGAAGCACCTGTTCAAGATGTTTGATAGGGACGGGAATGGGTATATCACGGCGGCTGAGCTGGCACACTCCATGGCGAACCTCGGCCACGCGCTCACGGCTGAGGAGCTGACCGGAATGATTAGGGAAGCCGATACCGACGGAGATGGGAGGATCAGCTTTCAGGAGTTTTCTCAGGCGATTACGTCAGCTGCCTTTGACAATTCTTGGGCTTGACTATATTCCCTTTTGTTTTTTAGGTATGAATTTTCGTTTTCTTTTTTTTTTTCTTTTTTTTTTTTTTTTGTGATGATGAATCTTGATTGGTTGTTAATTAGATGGGAAATTTACAATTTTCACCCCTCATGTTTGCATCGATTTCACATTTGGTCACCTGTGTGTTCACAGAAAAACACGTTTGGTCCCTCATGTTTCAAAACTTAAACATTTTTAGTACTGGCCGTCAATTTTCCGTTAGCACTAACGAAATCAAGTGTGTGCCCATTATTGCCGTAACTGACGGGCTAACGGTAAATCGACGAAAATGATCAAAAGTGTTAAATTATTGAAGCATGAGGGACCAAATTTATTTTTTATGAACAGGAAGGACCAAATGTGAAATTAGTGCAAACATGAGGGATGGAAATTGTAATTTTCCCGTTGTTCGATTGTCCATGTTTGTTGTTTGTTGTTCATCTTGCCGAACTGTTTGGAGATAAGTGTATATATGTTTGTTCTCATGGTATTTTCTTAGTGCAACTTTAATTGCTAGGAGTAAGAGTTGAACTGCGACAATATCCATAGTAAAAACCCGTCCCGTAGTACGAAAACTAAGAGAGACTATAAAAGCCATGTTGAACCCCAACCCGGCAATTGTTCTTGTTTTATTTAACGTGCAGTCGTCTGAAATCGATTTGTTTATACGTGTTATATTTCATCGTTATTCGAAATACATATCTAACATGTTCCTTAAACTCATAAACTTGTAAGAATTAGTACCGAGAATCCTAATACGTTTTTCTTTCATGCAACAGGTTTGGATTATTTTCGTGGAACAAGTTTAGGAGAGTGATTATTTTTTTCCCCCTCGGAAATCTGAATTGTGCACAAGTGTTTGATTCTGCATACGGTCGGTCAACTCTCGACCAACAACTTACAAGAAACCTCTTTGTATCCATGGATTTCTTGGTTGGTTTTCTAGCATGATGAATTTTTATACATATGTATATTAGCATTTTGTTGCTCTGCATAAACAAAGCTTGTTCATCATCTTGTATTTAAATTAGCAGTACAGTATGTTAAGAATCCTCGTACGTACGATACGTACTATGATTGTCGTTTATCAGACACGTAAAGATGGTTGCTCATGTAGATATGATACTACTGCTCTTCTTGATCTTCGATCCTTCTTTCATTTTTCTTTTTTTTTTAATTACCTAAAAGTATTTTTATCTGAAATATAAATGCTCATTTTTTTTTACAAACACCAAATAGCAAGAATGTGCAATTTGTTAAATTAAATACATATTTATTTTTGGCAATTTTGTGTTGCCGCGGAGAAAAAGTGCTGAATAATTCCGTCTCAAGATCAAATCAAGAAATGCAGTGGGATACATCGAAAACTCCTTCAACCAATCGAACTTATATCTTATAGAAACGGGGTATTAGGGGCAACGCTTATCCACATTCATGTACCAAGAGCATAAACGAGACAAACGGACTTGGTACACCTTAATATATCGAATATGCCATCATCACCATCATCACAGAGAAAAAATCATGGCAAATCCTAACCACTTTATGCTGGCCAATAATTTAGCTTACCCCAATTCCAGAATTGATAATCCGATCGTGTGGAAGCTCAATATACTCACGAGTGATTGGATTGCATATGTAGAATGCGTCAGATCCAGATCATTAGCTCTGAACCCTTTAGCTCATATAAGTACGGGAATCCCATGGAGGAGTCGAATTTGGTGACTGGATTGTAGTTATTGGAGATATTAATATTTTAAAGGGTAAATTACAACCACCCCTCTGACGTATGGTCAATTTACGAAAAACCCGCTCTTGTTTGGATAATTACATCTACCCCTCAACTATGTTTTTTTCTTACATCTCCACCCTTGTGGTGTTAAATTTAACATAATCATCTAGATTTCGTGGAATGTGTTCTAATTTGTATTCATTTTGTGTAAAAATACAATTTCTGATGCACCACAATCTGATATATACAAGCCAGAAAACACATATTACGATCATCTTGCTTCAAAATGTGGAGTTTGAATGTGATAAAACGGATACAAAAGTGATAATGTTCCATATAATCTCGAAGATTCCACTAAATTTGAAACCACAAAGGTGGACGTGTAATTAAAAAGATTTATAGTTGAGGGGGTTTTTGTAATTACCTAAACAGGAGGGGGTTTGTAATTTAGCCATACCTTAGGGCTGGTTGTAATTTACCATATTTTAAATGATACATTTTACTAATACTTAAGTATTTTGTTGAGATGATCATTCAACATAGTATCAGAGTTAGGCCAAAATAAAAAGGTCCTGAATTTAAATCACACCGCCACTCATTTCAAATATTTCAAGTACAAAGCTTCAAATGTAAATCGTTGCACTTGAGGGGGCGTATTGGAGATATTAATATTAATAGCTTAAACTTTTGGTTGAGATGGTCATTCTAACGTTAGTAAAGAGAGTGATGTTCAAGACCGAGCAGTTCATCGTCAAATTCCAAGATTCTGTAGTTTTAAGAGGCGGAATAGTAGCCGATAACTTGTCCGGCGACTGATTTAGTAGAGAAATGGAAACCGGCGGCCGAGTAAATCTCGCCATGGCTTGCAAACACATTTGCAGATTCGGATGGTTCGAATCGGAAGTCGGGCTATATAATATAGATGATGATATCTGATAGCAGATTTCTGAAAATTTGTAGTTTCAATTAATTTGGGGTTTCTTGGGTGAGAGTCTCATCTTTGTTGAAGAGACGGAATCATCAAATGCAACGACACCGGTGACAGGAACAGCCGGAATTATTTATAATTGGGATACTTTCCCTTATGTTAGTTGTAATTGTAGATAAACCCCTATTGTTTGAACATTAGGCAAACCTCCCCCAAGGTTTGGTATTATAGCTTATATAGGGTATACTTAACTCATTTGATTCTTGATTTTTCCAAAATGCTACTTTTACCCTTGAAAAAGTACGGTAAAATACACTTTTGCCCCTTGTACTATAAGCTACGTAGCATTTACCCACTCGTACTTTGAAAAATACACTTATCCCCCTTGACTTAACCGTCAACCTATTTTATTACTTACTGTGATAGTAGTAATAAAAAAGTTATAATTTTATCATCAAATTCAATAATTTTTTTAGTAATTCATAAGAAATGACACATTGCTTTTATTAAAAAAAAATTGCCAGGTGGATAGATATTTAACATGTGTAATTTTTAGAATTTTGGATTAAAATAATTACTCTGTAAATATTTATATTAAAATTTGTAATTCTATGGTAATATTTTCGTAATGATATATGTTGATTTTCTTTTTTGTATTTATTTGTAGGGTAAATCACCTACACTCCTGAAATGTGTTAAAATAACTTTAAGGTTCCTGTAGGCTGTAGTATCGGTAATTACAATTACCCCCTACAAAATTATTAGAAACTCTAACGAAATAATGCATTGGATAAGTTATTCCGTTAGGGTTCTAACTTCTAAGAAAAAAAAATCGAAAAAAAAAATCAACGCCGGAGACCGGCGATCAACGGTGGTTGACCGGCCGGAAAAAAAATTCAGGAAAAAAAAAATTTCAAAAAAAAAAGAAAAAGTCAAAATTTGGGTCAAAATTGAAATTAGAGTTAAAATTGGTTAATTGATGAAATTGGGCTAAATTGGGGTGTAAATCATGAAATTGGAGTTGAATTGAGTTTCAATGAATTAGGGGTAATTTTGGTATATATAAAAGGATTTTCCTTATTTGCAAATAAGTTTGAATGAGCTTAGATTTATTTAAAAGACAAAAAAGTTGGATGTCCCTCTTTTAATTAAGTGCCCTTGTCATGGGCATTTTTGTGAGTAACCCATTTTTTTATTAGTTATTTTAAATTAAAGAGTTTTTTTCCGCATTAATAATGTTTATTTTATAACCCTTTTTACGCTAATTATATGATTTTTTGACATTTTAATTAATTGAGATAATTAAATACCTCTTTGTAGCTGCTAAAAAAACCAAAACAAAATTAATTTCCTCTCTCACAATTGGAATATCATATATATATATAATTAAATGTATATATATTTTATGCTAAATTACTGCCACCCCTAAAGGTAAGATCACATTACAAAAAAAACTTCTCATGTTTAGGAAATTACTACTGCCCCATCAACTATGAATATTCTTACATGCTCACTTTATTATGTCAAATTTAATGGAATCTTCTAGATTATGTGGAATATTCTCCAGTTTGTACCCGTTTTTACCCCATTCGAACTCCACTTTTTGAAGCAAGATGATCGTAACATTTGTGTCTCTTGACTTGTGAATATCACAGTACGTTGCATCAAAAACTACATTTGAGTACAAAAGGTGTACAAACTAGAAATATTTCTACACAATCTAGAAGATTTTATTTAATTTGGCGTCATAAGGGTTGATGTGTATAGAGATTAATAATTAAGGGGTGATTATAATTAATCAGGGATGAGGGATATTTTAGTAATTTACCGCAGGAATGAGGGTGACCGTAATTTAACCTATAATTTAATATTGCCTAGTTTTTTACGATTGTTTTAGAGACCCATCATTTCGAAAATATATATAACTAGCTACCATGTTTTTTACACCCTAGTGCAAACCCCCTCCATTTAGATAATAATTTGACATACCCTCCTAGCCCACCCTGAAGTTCTCAGAGTACCCTCTTAAATCAGTTTTAAACCCTAGCCCAGCTCATATGGTGTTTATCTTCCTCTCTCAATTCCCAGATCCAAGTCCCGCCCCCTAAGGTCTCTAACCGGCGATTTTACTTCTCGGAGTCATAACTCTCTCTCCGGTGGTCGGAATTCGATGGTTCAACTATCGTTGGATTCCTTTCGTCGAGCTCTTTTTTTGTTGGATATTTTATTCAGTTTGGAGTGCTAGACCTGTTTCTGCATTTTTTTTAGTCGCCGTATTTCGACGACGGTGTTCTTACAAGAGGTGTAATTTGTTTTTCGTTAGTTGGAATTTGACGGGCTATTCACCGTTGGATTCCACTCGTCGGGATCTATATTTTGATGTCAATTTCATTAATTTTTATATTTTGAGATTTATTTCTATATTTTTATATTTTATTTTATTTTTATATTTCATTTTTATAATTTCAGATTTATTTCTCTCGATCTCTAAGTGTTTTTTTTTTTTTTGTTTAAGGATGTTTCTTTGTTTTTTGTTCATTTGCACTAAAATATTTTTTTTTTTGTTTTGATTTTGCAATTGCAGCTTAATGAAGGCCATTGATCCTTTCCTTGAAGGTGTCAAAATTTTTGTTTGAAGTTACATCTGCTTTGTTCAACAGACTTTATACATTACTGTACATTACTATAGTAACGTGTAGTTACATATGCGTATATTTGTGTATTTTTTATTTGTATTTTATTGGTTTTGATGCGATTTATAATATAAATATTGAAATTTGTAATTTTTTATTGTTGGGGTTTATGAATTTCTTTTTTATTAGCCATTATTCGTGGGTGTGTATATACTTGATCGACTAAAAATATGGGCTAAACAAAAGAACATGACTACGCATTACTATAGTTGCTACATTTACATGTAGTTATTTCAGTACAGTAAACATATTGATTTGGAAATTATATATATATATATATATATATTTAAAAAAATTAAAAATATTAAAAAAATAAAAATTGTTATAGAATAATCATTTAGTATAATACGTATATTAACTATACGAATAAATGGAATAAGGTGTGTGCAATATAAAAACTGTGTATTGAAGTTGTATGCTGTAAGAAAGAAATTCACTGAATTCTTATTGAAGCCAAAAGCTTATGTATAGATTTACATAGATGGTGCCATATGTTTATACAAGAATTTCAAAGTGATTTGTCATGCTTATCAAAAGATTAGATAGAGGAGAGGATGGCACGTTTTGACTTAGTCCACAAGTATCTTAGAGTGGATATATATTACAATACTCCCCGTTGGACTAAGTATTTATAGTAGTGGTCATAAACTGGATGAGTAAAATGTATATGTATGCCTCGTTAAAAACCTCAAGCCGGAAACCCAGTGGGACAAAACCGGTCAGAAGGAAAAAAAAGTGCTAACTCAA